TAATTTTAGTCTCTTTTAAATACTACTATAATTTTGTGCGTCATCAACCAGCACATTTTTGTTTATTTTGTTTGTGGTCTGATTTTTATATGTATTTTGGGATAGGACAAAGATTTTTGACACTTCCCAGATGAGTTTCATGCCAGTGATACGACTAAACCGGAGATCCTCGCTGCCAAATGCACCCAGCCATTCATTTTGTTTACTGCGGTGTGTTTAAATGCCGGTGCAAAGATGCTTCTGCTAAAACTTCTGCTGTAATTCAAATTCATTGGGGAATTTGCAGCGCAGACAAAAATGTCAATGAATCTAAATATGTACATTATAAAAAGGCACGGATTACAAAAGTGACATTCCACGGAAAGCTCTTCCGGGTTTATGACTATGTCTATGAGAATAGATGCTCATTTGAAACCGTTTCATTGTCAGTTGCTACTGTGTCAGTATCTGTGCCAGATGGACAGAGGTTGGGCCGAGTTCAAACAGAGATATGTATATTGCTAAATTAAATTAATCTTGTCCACTTTCAGCCTCAAATAACTTCTGTGTATTTAAAGGAATACAAAGAAACCTGTTGAATTTGCATAATGACAAGATTATAGTCATTATTGAACTGTATGGATTATAGTTATTATATTACAGCATTAGTTCTAGCTCTCAAACTTTTCAGGCCAAGTTGCTTTGATCAAATAAAAAACTAGAAGTATCAATGTTCCCTTTTGAAGGGTTTTCAAACTGGGGTCTGGGGACCCTGAAGGCACTGAAAAGGGCTTATACTGTAGTAAGTTTAGTAAAAGTTTTAGAAAGTTTAGTAAGTTTTTTTCTTTTCTTCAATATTCTAAAATTTAAGGCTGTCAAATTTCTCTTTCTATAAAGTTTTTCCTTACCGCTGTCACTTTTTATCTTGCTCATTGGCAGTACAGTACAAAAGACAGTACTGCGCCATTTGTAAACAACATGTTGTCTTCATAATATTAATATTAATATTTTCTATATTAATATAATATGTTTAAATAAATACATTTAAAAATATTATATTTGTATAATTGTATATATTATATATTTTTATTTTTATTTTTATATATATAATTACTCACATATGTGACCAAATTTCATGCTAGACCGTAATTATTTAATTATTGTGATTATTGTACCGAAAATTACTGTATTAATTACATAATTATTGACACACCGTTTTATATATATACCGGTATGTATATATATACATATATATATATATATAATTTAACGGAGTGTCAATAATTACGGTAATTAATTATAATTAATGTATATAATTAGTAACACCGTTAAATTATATATATATATATATATATATATATATATATAATTATAGATAATTATAGGTAATTTAATACAGTAATTCTTGGTACAATAATTACGGTAAGCAATTATTTAGTCGTCTAGCATGAAATTTGGTCACACATGTGAGTGATTTACAATGTAGAAAGTATCTTTTGCAGTCCAGTTCATACACATTAATACTACATAGATTTAGGACTTGTCTCATCTGTCTAGAAGTAATTAGAACTGCTTTGCCAGTCTGATTACATTATAAAAGAGCGGGGGGACTCTTAAAGTTAGCATTCATGAAATGTAGCATCTATATGCGTAATTTAAGGTCGGACTGAATAATATCTTGACTTCTTTGTTAATCGCCACTCTTTTTAGCGCAGAGAATACAATTATGTTGCAGGCTGTGTTATAAAGTGAGCATACTGTGTACACAAACACATAATACAGCTGCATAAGCACATGATTGGATTGGAATAAAACCCTTTTTTTACGGGTCACATCTCAAAAATGCACACATAATCGTCCCGTTACTGCAAGTGTATTTCATCTCCGCTCTTATGCTTCACTGGCTTCATCTAAAGCCTGTTTTTCTTTTTTCCTTTTTTTAAAACTCAACCCTTAACAACATTCATGTTCCTGATTACCAATTATACCTCTCATGGTCCCTTCAAATAACTTTAATTACTGATTAGAATTCGGCTCTCACAAAGCCGCTACTTGAGTGTAATTGCTCAATAAAGAGTTGAGTGGAAATGTGTGGTAATAAGTAGGTGTTCCTGCTGCTTGTCTCATTAGCGAGTAAGCACTGCCTTCGCTTCCCGGGCGGCATAAATGGAGCCTCTCTCATTCATGGCACAGGGGCCCCCTGGTTTCTCCATAGCTGAACCAGCAACCGGATAACATGTCCCCAAACTCGCTGACCTCACACCACAGACACCTCACTGAACACACATATACAATGTCCGTATTTGTTTTTCGTAACACTGTGTCACAAGGCAGAGACCTATTTAGCATTAGCTGTGAGCGACTTAAACCTCAGTTGTCAGGCTAATTTTTCCCATTATATGATGTTACGTGTTTTGCTCATGAAGTTGACCTGATGATTCATGGTAGGCACTGCAAGTGTTACTGTTTGTTCTCATTTGTGAGAGGAAAACGACTAAGTGTTAACTCTGTTCCAACACTTGAGGTGCCTTGCCGTATCTGCCAAAATAGACAATTGCCTTACTAACCTGAATGGAACCTCATAAGTGACTACTTAGTAAGAACCCTACTTAGGCATCAACTCTGTGCTACGAACGAATAACGCACTCTAATGAGAGCAAACAAATGGATGAAATAAGTTTTTTATTTATTTAATTAATACCACAGGTAAAATTGTATGCTTATTTGATCAAATATAAAACATTAATATTGTTTTTACAATTATTTTTATAATTACAATTTAATTATTACATATATATATATAAAAAAAAAAAATCTATATTAAAAATGGGATGGCAAAGTCACATTTTCAGCAGGCATTACTCCAGTCTTCAGTGTCACATGATCCTTCAGAAATCATTCTAAAATGGTAAAGTAACATTTGGTGCTCAAGTAACGTTTCTTATTATTATCAATGATGAAAACAGTTTAATATTTTTTTGGAAAAACATTAATAATTTTTCCCCAGAAATATTTGGACTTAAAAGAACATCATTTATTTGAAATAGAACTGTTAAAGCTTTACTCTTGACTTTTGATAGTAAATTACTAAAAAATATGAATTACTATAAAAAACCTTACTGACTATTACTATAACCTTACTAAAAATTTCGAACAGTAGTATAGTATGCATTTCTCTTATCCACCATTTTTCTTTTCACCAAGCATGTCGTTTCTCTGTGAAAGATATATGTAATTTTGCCTTATAATGTGGCCAAAACAAATAATTAATTTAGCTTTTATATCAACCTTCACATTTGGAAGGCTGCATCTCCTATGAAGGCAGCTCACTTGATATTGGAAAAAACAAAGCTGTTATTAATATTATTAGGTCATCTCCATCATGTTTATTTTGAGTTAAAATGACTGTCGTTGAGAGGTTATAGACTGTTGGCATTAAAAAAGGGTTAGTCTAACTGGTCATTATTTACTTAGTAATTTACTGTACATTTTTTGGACCTTCACACTTTTTCTAAAAGTCTTGTTTTCGCATGACTGAAGTTGTACAAATTCATACAGATTTGTCTCTTTTTTTACCAAAATGTAAAATAGTTACATTTTCTCATAAGATCGGGCTGGTAATATGGTCTTTATGTCTGTTCTTAGCCACGTTTTGTTAACTTCCTAACTTCCTCTTTCAGTTTGCTCTGTAGTTCAAGGTACTGTCCCATACCTCCCTCTCTTGGTCTCTCTTTGCCCAGTTCTTCCAGACCTCCTCAATAAATCATGCCATCTTTGAAACATTTACATCTCTCGTGTTGCCCTGAATTGAGAAATCCAAAAATCATTGGATGTCAGAGAGACATAAGGTATTAAGGAACTTGAGATAATAATTTCATGTCAACTTGCAACTTACAAGTGACTTTAGGATGTAAGCTAAGGCAGAGAAAAGTACAAATAGAGATCACCGGAGGAGGAGAAAGGGGGAAGTAGGACGCTCGAGTTTCCACAGAGGTCACAAGGTTATTACAGTTCACGTAAAGTCCTCTTGTGCCTTTGGGGAATGTTTGATGCCATGTTCACAGCGATTTTATGTTGTACGAGAATTAGGCATGTGACATATTCTGTCTGCATTCACATTTGAGGATTTTAGTCTTTTCAAGACCATAGTTAATTCATTCGGCAAGTAGACTTGGATAAACACAATTTCTGACATCAATTAGATCCAAACGACAGATCCAAATGACAACAATAATGTAAAAATAAACTAGAATAAAAATACATCCAAAGACTCATGATAAAGCAGTGTATTCCTAATGCCTCTAAAATGCTGTAATTTGGAAAGCTCACTTGTGGATTGGTACTTAGACGGTCAAATGATTCAGTCCTAAATTGGACGGCGAGCGCAGCCAAATCAGAATATAATTTGGCAAGCAGATTTTGATCCTGCCTGAAACATGCATTGGAACCCAATCCCTGGATTAGCTGTGGACTTTACAACTCTGCGATTGGCTTATTGCCACACACTTGGCTGAACAAATGTCCCATCTAACTTGTTTTGAGCACAGTACTTACATTTTCAATCTGTACAAACACCTACTTACGGCTTAGACCATCTTAGTTAACCAAATAGTTGCTGTTAAATGTATTAATCTATCAGTGACAATATGGTAAGTGTGTGTAAGCCTCCCTTCCTTTCAATTTCTACACACTCTAACACTTTTAAGTACTTACACTGGTCGGCATTTTGTAAGAAGGCTGTATATATAAACAAAATGTAGTTAATCATCATGTTATGTGAAAGTATTATATTCCTTAAAGCTTTCATCTGGCGCCTTGTGACATTTAGGTGTGTCGGATTTATGTCAGCTTGATCTATCAGATTTTACAAAAGTTTTCCACCCACTCCGACCTTTTGTGGATTGATTCATCCCTGAGGCAGAGAGTTTATCATAGTACTTATGGTGTCTTGCCTTTAAACATGTTTGATTGATTGTATGTTTTCTTGCTGTCTCTCATTTTTTATATATTTTATTTAACAGGGGACTATCCTCCTCCTCCTCCTCTATCTGCCATTGACATCAGTGGGCTCCCGTCCCCTTCCAGCTTCCCACCTCCTCCGGCCATGGATGAGACCTCCTTCGGCTTTCAGGTGAGATTTGTTAATCCGGTCATCACAATATACAGTACACCCAAAATGGCAAATGACCTCCAGTAGAGTTCAAAGTCCACTGTGTAAAACTCTTTTTATTTAAAAAATGATATTAACAGCATGAATGAAAATTTGAATTTCTTATGAACAGGATTTATTATTTGATAATGTACTTGTATATTCAGTGAATATTCAGTATTTTGAATATTCAGTATTTGGAATGTCCCCCTTTTTATTTAATTATATCATGCACCCAAGCTGGCATGAACTGCACAGGCTTTTCAAAACAAACATGATTTGTGAGTGTTCCAAATCATGTGCTTCAGTGGAAGCAAAGAAATCTGACCTTTTGTTCAAAGTTCACACATTTGCTTTTTTAATTAGTGACCTGATCACTAACATTAATTGGTTGACCTGACATTTGTTTTGTGTTTTTATTATTATTTTATTTGTTTGTTTGTTTGCTGTTGTCAGAATCTAAGCACTTTCCAGTTTTAAATCAGATTTCGAATCCCTGATTTTCAAAGTGATCTTCGATTTCTGAACCCTAATATAAATTCAGGACACTTGCTTGGTCTGTGTCCCTTGTGGTCATTTTATTTTCTACTTAAAATTAGAAAGGACAAACTGTTTGTGGTTTTGCTAATATTTGATTCGAGATTGTGAGGGCCCTAAACGGCATTTTTCAACTCACTCTGTCTTCTGTATAGGACTCTCCCAGTCACGTGACCCTTAGCCGCGTGTCAGCCATTTTGACGGAATACATCCGTCGGCTACTCGTAGATCCATTGCCGTGGGTAATATATATTATTAGTATATTATACTAATAATATAATTATTAGTATATTATTATACTAATATTATAATTATTAGAATAATTAGCCTAAATATTGCAATACTTTGCGCTAAACTACAGTATTGATATAATTGCATGCACAAAATCATGTTGCAAAATATCTCGATACTGAACAGAATCGATTTTTTCCCCCACCACGTCATGTCATCGCACTTAATATTAGCATCATAAAAATAAATATACAAGAGGAAGATAAAGGAATTAGGAATCATTTATCCATATGAAGCACCACAAGTTCTTTTTACAGGCATTAAATGTGTAGAAAAACTTCCTGACATTGAGTTCGGTGGCATTACAGCTAAGTTACCTTATTCACTTCCATCACGCTACACCGGAGCTTCATTAAAAGAAAATGATTTTGCAATCATCACACAAAGGTTGGTCAATGCATTTTTATCACCAAATTATAGTACCTGTAATAATTTTTAAACTGAGTTTACAGGGAAAAACACAAAACAAAATCACCAACAAGATTAAGTGTAGGGTGACCATATCTTGATTACCAAAACACTCGGCCCGGCAAACAGATACTCAAATGATACTCGAAATTTACTCAAAGATGCCTTTTTTAATTAATACATTTAAAGTAGCCTCCTCTGTATGGATAGAAAATTGTTATTTTACAAGACACAAATTCAGATAGGCTTCTCAGAGGTTACGCAACATGTTTTATTATGACAGGTTTCAAAAATAATCAATGAAATATTGATAGAAATAATGTCTCTTCTGTATTAGAAAAATAAATATATAAATGATAAATAACTAAAAGAAATACCTCCAAATTGAACAAAAATAGCTCTCACAAACTTACAAAAACGAACTAACAAAATATATTTATATCTTTAGTTTTCTTCCTCTTTATCCTGTTTTTCTTCCTCATCCTTGTTTGCCCATCTATATTTTGCTGTAGAGCTGATCTTTCCAAGCAATGTTTTGAAAACCAGGACATTTTCATCACTTTATAAAAAACAGCCAGGACGGCCAGGACAGGACGTGAAAACAGGACATGTCCTGGGAAACCCTAATTAAGTGTATCTTTAATTAATTTCTTTAATCTAGTTTGATCCAAGAAAAACGAAATAATAGCCTATGCTTAAATATACTTTTTTATACTTATCACTGACTGTCACTGTAGTATGATAAACTGTCATTGAGACTGTTGTCTCAACCTGTGTTTCTAACGATTTATAAGAAGTGTCAAATAAAATACAAGATCAGCTTTTGGTATTTGAAAACGAAAGAATGTAATGTGATAATAGACTACGCCTAACAAATTAACTGATCTAGGAATGCATGTATGCGTTTTGCCTGTTTATTGCCGCCAACCACTTTTCTCCGTTTTGTTTCTTTTGGGATACGTTATAAAGATATTCCTTTTGTATGATCACGTATCTGATCACATCCAAATGCACAGCATCGCTCGGGCATGATAGGAATATTTCGTGATGAGCTATATTATCACCTGCGGTTTAGCATTTTCTATTCCGTCAAGACAGCTGCTCCAAATGGCGTGACGTCATGTAGGTGTCCCTATAGCCTTATTCCCATCCCCCTTAATAAGTCAATGTAGCCTACCACTATGCAAACACTATGCAAATTAGTCTCGATATTTCTTTAAAATGTTTGGCTGTTGCATATATTTCTTGCAAATTTACATCTCTTATAGAGCAAATACACTGCATGTAAGCCTTACAGTAACACTGTGTATCAGCCCCCATTTTTATCTTAAACACTCTGGCAGTGAAAAGTCGGTCCGAATTGGCCATATGAAATGTGTCCATACATGAACAAATGGTACAGTTGGTAAATAATATTTCAACTTTGGATTAGCAGCTTAGACTCCCCACTGTGATATTTAGCACATCCACGTAAATGACGGAGAAACAATGCTTTAAATTCATTTTTTAACAATATGTTAAGGTGAAACGGAAATCATCAATAAGTAACTGGTGTATAAGCAATTCAGTCTCGTGCAGCCTGCAACTGTAATATGACTGAATTACTGTAAACTATAAATTAATAGTTGCTTACTTAATACCTCATACTTAATGAGGCATTATGTCCATTCAAACTGAGGAGGCACTTGCCCTTTTAGAATTTTGAGGCACAAAGAGTTTGAATGTAACTTCCACAATACAAAAAATAACTTCTTACATTTGATAATTAACTTCCATGATTAATGTATTTACAATTAATGCCCCAAAGCCGTCGCCTTTTGGTGAATTTCGCCGCTTTGAATCCAAAATAGAGAATCTGTGCCGCCAGTGTGGTGTGTTTCTCTAAAGGGCTACAGAGAACAACTTCTTAATCATAAAATGCACTTCCAAATGCAGAGATAAGGTGCAGTTTAACCTTGATGTACCCAAAAGTATAGTTTAAATTAACTTGTCACTATAAAGAATAGGTGGAAGACCGAATCGATGCAGGATTTATGTTCTGGAACAGTAAAGATATTAAAAAAAATATGATCTTGCTCACTTTATAGACATAATTATTTACAGTGAAAACTTAAGTAATGTTTTATATCACTACAAAATGGCATAGAATAGTGTTTAGGTGTGAATTGGGACCAGGGACGTTAAAAACAGCTGTAAATTATGTAGATCAATCCAAAATAAAAAAAAATAAAAAATGTTGAAGATTGGCCAATAGGCTGTCGATTCATTCAATTATAAACTTTTTCCCCACAAAAGCAGTTTATTCAGCATAATACAGCCTCTCCTCCACTGACATCCATTAAAAACAACAACAACAAAAAACTTTTGTGTCCATTTATTTTTCCATGCAAATCAAATATTAAAGTTGTAAACTATTAATTTTTTTTAAGAGAAAATTTTGGCTTATTTCTAGTTATTCATTTCTTAAATGTAGAAAATAAAATGACCTGAAGGTACATGAACCTTGCTTTAATACTTCAGATCCCTTTTCATGCGTGTTAACGACAAACAGACAAAAGGCCAGCCAAGTCTGCATCTCTTTTTGTGGCTGTTTACCAGGCGTGTGCCCTAGTTGTTTATATTTCTCTTTAGTTCATTTGGCACCCGTTTAGAAATGAGCGAGGGCACAGAGAAGGCTGACACCTATTGGTTCACCTCAGTCATTTTCCCCCTTCAGGGAGTCAGTCCCCCGTTAGAACCAAACACTCATTGTCCAGCCATTAAACTACAGCCTCAAAACTGTTTCTGCCTAATATATTCATTGGAATTACTCGTATTGAATTTTTAGTTATTTAACACAAACTTTCTGTATTCCTGTATTCCTTTTGATTCCCAGGGAATCCATGGACTGATAAAAATGTGTACAAAAAACTATTCACATTATTTAGTTTGATGGCCTACTGCTACAATAGTGCAGAATGAGATCATTTTTACTTTTCCGTCATTGTTTTCGCTCCGGCCTGTTGATAATGTGTTCGTGTAGTTGCAATTTGACCAGGTTTGCAGTCACTGATGTGCAACGCGCGAGACGCAGCTGTTTTTGTGTGTGTGTGAGAGACGCTTGTAAAGTCTTCATCAGCTTCTTTCTTTTTTTTTCTTTTTTTTTTTAAAAAGGCCACTTTTTTCTGCTGCTCAAAATGTGACTACAGGCATGTTCTCTGCTCTAATAAAACCCTCCACTGGATCGCTTTCCCACGAATGGTGCTCTGCAAGGGAGGAAGCCTGTCCAGAGGGAATCAGAGCGTTTGTTGATCTTGCTCTATGGAGTCAGCGAACGGCAGACGGTGTTATTGGCGAATAATTAGCCTAGTACAGAAAAGACATCAGACTGTAGAGGCGAGGATCTCGATTCCTCTGTAGAAATGAATGGCATCCTGGAGTCAGTTTATCCGACTTTACATCTCAGATGAGAGGAGATCAGTGGCAGCAGATGGTTTGTGACATAGAAAGGAATCCACAGCAAAGCACATTTTGTAGTATTCAGCACGCCGTTCCCCTGAAGACCTTTAGCCCTTGATTCTGATAACAGTACTTCTGCGTTCATGTGTGTGTGAGTATTTACCGAAAACGAGTGGCAATCCGTTCGACCCACAGCTTTCCCTTATTCCAGTTTTCTACATCTTTCATGAATGAAAAAGGGGATGTTGAATTATTTCTGCATCTAAGCAGAACTAACAAGAGGAAGAGGCCGGAGTACCGCGGTGAAC